TCCCAGACTCTCTCTGTTACTTCCAATTACCCATTTCTGCTCCCTACCAATTCTGCACTCACAGACCTGCAAGCACACATTCTCTTCCTCCCTTTTCTTTGTCCCCCTCCTTTCCCCCTTCCGTCTCCCTTTCCCCCCCTTTTCTCTCCACCACAAACCACTTCTCACCGGACATGCTAATCCGCGGGGAGCGCACACAGCACGGACGACGACCACGACACAGCACACAGGACACAACACACACGCCGACCCGCAGCTCAAAAGGTGGATTCCCCTTTAGCGGAATCGAAACATAACATTGGGCGTCCGGTGTCAAAGGTTGGGGCGGGTCGGGGCGGGGTGGCGAGGGGGAAAGGGGGTGATGAAGGGGTAGGGGGGTTTGGGGGGCAAAGGGGGCGATGAAGGGGTAAGGGGGCGCGGGAGGGTATGGGAGCGTAGCGGGGTACAGGAGTGTGGGAGGGTAGGGGGTGTGGGAGGGTAGGGGGTGTGGGAGAGTAGGGGGTGTGGGAGAGTAGGGGGTGTGGGAGGGTAGGGGGTGTGGGAGGATAGGGGTGTGGGAGGGTAGGGGGTGTGGGAGGGTAGGGGTGTGGGAAGGTAGTGGTATAGAAGGGTAAGGGGTGCAGGGGGGTAGGGGTGTGGGAGGGTTGGGGTGTGGGAGGGTAGGGGTGTAGGAGGGTAAGGGTTTAGGGGTGTGAGGGCAGGGGTGTGGGGGTAAAGTGTGAGGGTCAGGATGTGTGGGGGGTGAGGTGGTGGTAGTGGTGGGGGTAGGGGTATGGAACGGGTGGGGAGTGTGGCGTGGTGAAGGGATGATGGCTGGGCTACACACTCACCTCCATATCGCCCCCCCCCCCCTATTCCTCCCACACACGCCTAACTAGATGGGTGTATGATGGAGGGGGGGATTCGGGGGGAGGCGGGAGGGGAATCTAGGGGGTAGTGATAGTATGGTCTGCGGGACAGCAGTGGAAAGAGGAAAGAGCAAAAAGAGAAAAGAGGAGTGGGGGACGGGAGTGGAAGAGGAGGAGGGGAAGGGAGAGGAATAGAGGGGAAGAGGAGGGGAAGGAAGGGAGGGAGGGAGAGAGAGAGAGAGAGGGAGAGAGAGGGAGAGAGAGGGAGAGAGAGAGAGAGAGAGAGAGAGAGAGAGAGGAGAGAGAGAGAGAGAGAGAGAGAGAGACTGTCAATCCATCCACCAATCCGTCTCCCAAAGGGTACTGATCATGCAAGCAAAGCCAGGTGGAGGGTGGCCTGAAGGAGGGGGAGGGAGGGGGAGGGGTGGGGAGAGGAGTGACGGCCACCGACGCCGCCCCACGGACATCTATTTCTGGCTCTATGTTTTATATCGGTTTCTTCTTGTCGTGTTAAACTTGCCAAAATCTGCCGTAAACCCCTTTTCTTCCCTCTCTTTCGCCTCTCCACTTTTCCCTTCCCCTTCCTCTTCCCCCCCCTCCTCCCTTTTCCTCTTCTCCCATCCCTCCCCTCTCCTCCCTCCTCTCTACCCCCATCCCCCCTCTACTCTCTACTCTCAGCCCTCTCCTCCACTCGACCCCCCCTCCCTCCGACTCCCAAAACCTCCCCCACCCGCGAGCTTATGCCATCAATCGCGAGGGAAGGTGAGCGACATCGAGAGGGGGCTGCGCGACGAGGGAGGGGGTTGGAGGGGGGGAAGGGGGGAGGAGAGGGGGAGAGCTGGAGGGAAAGGAGAGGGGGGGGGAGCTGGAGTGGAGAGGAGTGACGGCCACCGACGCCGCCCCACGGACATCTATTTCTGGCTCTATGTTTTATATCGGTTTCTTCTTGTCGTGTTAAACTTGCCAAAATCTGCCGTAAACCCCTTTTCTTCCCTCTCTTTCGCCTCTCCACTTTTCCCTTCCCCTTCCCCTTCCCCCCCTCCTCCCTTTTCCTCTTCTCCCATCCCTCCCCGCCCCTCCCTCCTCTCTACCCCCAATCCCCCTCTACTCTCTACTCTCAGCCCTCTCCTCCACTCGACCCCCCCCTCCCTCCGACTCCCAAAACCTCCCCCACCCGCGAGCTTATGCCATCAATCGCGAGGGAAGGTGAGCGACATCGAGAGGGGGCTGCGCGACGAGGGAGGGGGTTGGAGGGGGGGAAGGGGGGAGGAGAGGGGGAGAGCTGGAGGGAAAGGAGAGGGGGGGGGAGCTGGAGGGAAAGGAGAGGGGGGGAGCTGGAGAAAAAGAAGAGGGGGAGGGGGAGAGCGGTGAAGGAAATAGGGGGAGGGGGGAGCTGGAGAAAAAGAGGAGGGGAGGGGGAGGGGGAGCTGGAGGGGGAGCTGGAGGGGAAGAGGAGGGGGGAGCTGGAAAAAAAGAGGAGGGTAGGGGGGAGAGCTGTGAGGGAAATAGGGGAGGGGGAAGCTGGAGGAAAAGAGAGGGAGGGACCTGGAGAGAAAGAGGAGGGAAGGGGGGGGGGCTGGTGGGTAAGAGGAGGGGGATGTTATAAAAAAAGAAAAGAAAATAATTATCAAAAGATAAATAGACTTAGGGGGGAGGGGAGGGGGGAGCTGGAGGGAAAGGAGAGGAGGGGAAGCTGGAGGGAAAGAAGAAGGGGGAGCAGGAGGGAAAGCTGGAGGGAAAGAGGAGGGGACGGGGCTATATTGGAGATAGAAAAAAAATCAAGAGATAAATGGACGGTTAGAGGGAGGGGGCAGACAGACAGAAAGATCGGGAAAAAATAAACACGTAACTTTTATACTAGTCCGTGACATCGCCGCCCCAACCCACACTGCATCATTTAAATATAAATAAGTACAGATCCACGCGGCTCCGACCTTACCTTGTCTTAGGTGACCAAAGCCCTGCCCAAGCCATTAGTAGCTTCCGTTCACGAAGCTACAGTTTTTTATATGCGCACACACACACACACACACACACACACACACACACACACACACACACACACACACACACACAAATAAATGTATGCTTATCTATACATAGATATGTACGTATATGTATGTGTATATATAAGTTTATATATATGCATATGTATATGTACATGTGCATATGTATATGCATGCATGCGTATATGTATATACGTATACATGTGTATATATATGCATATGTACGTGTATGTATATATATGCATATGTATATATATGTATATGTATGTGTATATAAATGTAGGTATATATGTGTAAATGTGTACATGTGTGTGAATGGCAGGGGGGTCCTACTCCCCCAAACCATCTACTGCCTAGGTCTCTGCATGCATGCCAGCCGACGCTTGGTCCCCATATGCACTCTCCCCCCAGAAACAAGGTAAAGGGACTAAGGAGGATATTGCCAACTAATGTTTTCGTCACTTGAAGATAGAATACGAATTATAGTAAAAGTGTCATCATCATCACCATCATTCTCGTCGTCACCATCACCACCACCATGGAGGGAAAAAAGAGGGCAGAGAAGCAGCAAACAATAAGAATCCCAACAACGGTAAAGCAAGAGGGAGAATCGGAATGAGAGGAAATGATCCAATAAAAAGAAAGGAGGTAAGATTCTAAGTCACCAATAAATGGCGTGACACCAACCGCTTTGTCATTCGCACTGGGGGTTTTGGTGCAGTGGTCTAGGATTCACCCCCACCTCTCTCTCTCTCTCTCTCTCTCTCTCTCTCTCTCTCTCTCTCTCTCTCTCTCTCTCTCTCTCTCTCTCTTATTTCTCTCCCTCCGTCCCCTCTCCCCCTCCCCTCCCACTCCCCTCTCTCTCTCCCATCTCTCCCTCTCCCTCTCCCTCTCCCTCTCCCTCTCTCTCTCTCTCAACCCTCCCTCCTGTTCCTTCTACCCGCTTCTCTCTTTCCTCTATCTGCTTATCCATCACGCTCTCTTCTCCCTCCACCGTGCATTTTTTTTCGTTTCCATGTCACCCATCACTTCTAAACAATAACTACATCGCATGAACAATAATAATATCGATCGCGATTATCAATATCCGGGAATGCAATTAGTACCGCTGTTACTGTGGCGTGCATAACCTTACGTGCTGTAGGGTCAACGCGGAGAAAAATAAAAGACCTACGGGTGGGGTTTTCTTTTACCCTTCCCTCTCCTCTTCACGGGGGGTATGAGCGGGGGGGGGGGCGGGCAATAGAGATGGAAGGGTGGAGGAGGAGGAGGAGGAGGAGGAGGAGGAGGAGGAGGAGGAGGAAGAGGAGGAGGAGGAGAGCAAGTGTGAGAGAGGGCGAAGGTAAGGGAGAGAAGATAGGAGACAGCCAGAAAAAGGAGAGGGAAAAGTGTGGGGATGAGAGAGGAAAGGAGAAGGAGTAAGAAAGGGGATAAGAAAAAAAGAAAGGGAGTCGTAAAAGAAACAGAGAAGAGGAAGTTGGCATCCTTCTCTATAGGTGATGAGGATTTTTAAAAAGCTACCAGCCAGACCCCCTGGTCACCGAACCGAAAGGGGAAAGCAGGGGGAGGGGGGCCAAAGATCCCGCGCTTCGGGAGGTCAGAGGGGGGTAAGGGCGGGAGGGGTGTGGGGAGGGGGGTAACGGAATCAATACTCAGTGTACTGATGAACATGTGATATTCTCTCTCTCTCTCTCTCTCTCTCTCTCTCTCTCTCTCTCTCTCTCTCTCTCTCTCTCCCCTTTCCCCCACCCAAACCGAGGAACAAGTGCACAGACACCAAATCCAAAAAACAAAATAAACACGATAACACGATTGACACCGGGAACCAGGCGATGGCTGCGTCAATGACGCGGGCATGACAGGCGATGACACGGAGAGCGGCGACAATGTGCGTTGATGACGAGTGACACCCTTGAGGGCGACTGTGTAATGCGGCAAGATCACGGATACGTCACGAGTCAACGGAAGATAATTTTTTTTTTTTTTTTGTGTGTGTGTGTGTGTGTGTGTGTGTGTGTGTGTGTGTGTGTGTGTGTGTGTGTGTGTGTGCGTGTGTGATGGATTGTAAACTACATCAAAATTCCCAAGGGAAACACAGAAGCGGAAGAAGGGCGGAACAAGTAAACCACGTGGTGTGTGTACTCACTCTGATGTTTGTCTGCCAGCATGATGAGGTTGGAGGAGATGTCCCGCCGTCTGTAGAAGCACATCACCTTGGCCTCCACGTTGCCATTTGGGGTCTGCGAGGAGAAATAGAAACAATAAGTGTGAAAAAAACATGAGATCAAAAAATCTATATCTATATTCTGTAACCCTATATTTGCAATTTTCAGAGTAACATGACTAACCCACATTTGGCTTTTCAGAGAAAAAGAAAGAAATATCCCCCTTTCTTCGAAAACCACGAACCCATTGGGCACCGATTCCCAAATCCGAAGTACAAGGGCTCGCAAGTACAGCGCCCCTTCCCCGTCACCAGTCGCCGCCTCACGGACACGCCGAATCGATGTTAAATCACTTGCTATGGCGCACATACCTCGCATGCTTGTATGCCGAGCAAGCAAAGGCAGCCAGAAACACATCTCGTGTTCTAACAAAAAATGCATTGGCCTCCACGTGGCGCGCGTTCTCCAAGGAGTATCATGACATGCTATTATCATGAGCAACTTTGAAGGCAAAAATTTCCATGAACAACCGACTCGGCGATTACACTATTCACGGTCCCATAGTAGATGCACAATGCGTGGGGTCTGTTCAACACAGATCGTTCATTCCTTTGCACCCTATTCATTTCGATTCATTTCCCCAGTGCCACTGCTCTGGCTCCTTTGATAATAAAATATAACTTATGCATAATATGCAACCCGGGCAATGCAACCCTTGCACGATAAGCAATCCCAGAAATAGAACTGGTGAATGCTGTGCAACTGCCTCCGGCAAAAGCAAAACGAATACTATATCGTCTACAAGTTTGATGTCACGCTCTTCGATTGCCTCCGAGTAAGAGTACTAACAATTGCCCTGTCCGTGTTTTATGTGTGTGAACATGCTTCTGTTTACATATTCATGCGCAGGTGTATGCGCACGTGGATCTCAATATAAACAAAGCCCCGATAATCAGACGCCTGCATAACAACAAAAACAAATTACAGCAATTACGCCGCAACGAGCGCTTGTTACCAAGCTCAGACATCCCGCCAGCACGTGTATCCATGTTCTCCGCTCCTACAGGTGTTCACGCTCCTACGTCATGGTGCTTTCTGAGTCATGTGCGCGCCACGATTCCAACACCTGCGAGTGACTACAGAACAGAGAGCAGGGAACAAGGAGAAGGTAATTGTATGGTAATACGACCAAGAACAATTACCTCTATTCCCTCTCGTCTCAAGTGGAATATATGGAATGCTTAGGATGAAAGGACAAGTCGCTGGAATTAACTAAATTATGTGAAATGCGCAGCATGCGATAGGTAGATGGAATACACATGAAACTAAATTAGCAGAACAAATGAGATATCAAACGTAGAAAGTGTGGAATGCGAAGGGTGAGAGGAATGCGAAAAGTGGGACCCGAGGAATTTTGGACTGCGTGGAGTACGCCCCGACGTGCGTAAGGCAGACCACGTGCGGAGAGGCAAGAGGGCAAGGAGCGTCCCGCGAACCCGGCGAGGGCGGTCCCCCTCCCCCTTCTTCACTCCCTCCTTTCCCCTTTGCTACCTCCCTCCTCTTGGCCCCTTCCCTCTCTCCCCCTTTTCCCTTCTTACTGCGTCCCCTCTGTCCTTTAGCCTTCCCTACCCCCCCACCCTTTCCTCCTCCCACCTCCCTTCCTCCCTTTCGACACTAAACTAACCGCGTGACACTTTCTCAATAGCGAGGCGCGCTTCTTGCGTCCTTACCCTTGCAACCAAGCCCAGGCTTCGCCTACAGCACATACAGCGCTCGAGACAAAGGGCGAGACTAGGACTAGTTCGTTTGGTTGCTGTTGCTGTTGTTGTTGTTGTTGTTGTTGTTGTTGTTGTTGGTTGTGGTGGTGGTAGCGTGTGTGTTTGTGTGCGCGTGCGCTCGCACGCGAGTACGTGTGTGAGTAAGCGCGTGTTTGTTTGTTTGTACTTGCACGGCTTGCATGTCTATTCATACATTCACGTGCATGTGTATAGCAATATGCGTGTGCATCTTCGTGTGCGTGCGTGGTTCCATGTGAGAGTGAGCATGAGCGTTAACAAAACAAAAAACAAAACAAAACAAAAAAAAAACATCCGCTTAAATGATCGCACACAAACTGCACAACCGCACTCGTACACGGGGAGGAACACGCGACAACAAAATGGAGTGCGTAACCGGCGGTCGGGTGGGAGGTACGAGGGTGGAGGGGAACAGGAGAAGGAGGAGGAGGAGGAGGAGGAGGAGGAGGAGGAGGAGGAGGAGGAGGAGGAGGAAGCGGAGGAGGAGGAGGAGGAGGAGGAGGAAGCGGAGGAGGAGGAGGAGACGGAGGAGGAGGAGGAGGAGGAGGAGGAGGAGGCGGAGGAGGAGGAGGAGGCGGAGGAGGAGGAGGAGGAGAAGAAGAAGAAGAAGAAGAAGAAGAAGAAGAAGAAGAAGAAGAAGAAGCACCAACACAAGATGTTTAAACACCAACATCGCTGCCGATACAGAAAATGGGGAGAACCGAAAGAAGGGGCTAAAGAGAGGCCATGGGTAGAAGGGATAGAGAGAGGAGAAGGAAGAGGGGGAAGAGGAGGGGAGGATGGAGGGAGGGGAGGAGGAAGGAGGGAGAGAGAGGAAGTATGAGGGGGCGAGGGAGAGGAGGGGCAGGATCGCAATTTGACGCCACGAGCGCTTGCTGCATCATCTCCCCGCCGGCTTTTCCACAAATCTCGTCATATCGCCGCTGCGTTGTCGTACCGAACTTAGACTTTGGTCCCGAGTTCTTTTTTCCTCCTCTCGCTATCAGTCCTTTCACTGTTAGTCATCCGCAGTATCTACTTTCTTATCCTCGTTGTCGTAGTTTTCTCTTCTTTTTATTCCACTAAACCACTTCCCCGCTTTCACTTACTTTTTCTCTGTCTTCTTTCTTTTTCTTCCTCCTTCCCTTCTTCCATTCCTTCATTCCTCCATCCCCGCCCTCGCCACATGCAGCCACCTCGCGACGCCCTCCCACGCGACTCCCTCCCCTTCCCTCTAATTCTTGAACAATCAACCCCCTCAAGAGTTAAAACCTGCCAATCAGGTGCCAATGAGACGCAAATCGAAGCGCCGCGGAAAACCACCTTCCCTGGCCCTCCACCACCTCCTTGGCGAGCAACTGCAGCGGAAGGCTCAGCGGAAGACACGTGGCCTCGCCGCTTGCTGCTCAAGCCCCAAGCGAGAGACGCCCTCGAGGAAAAGCGGCGTTGGAACAAAACCGATCAGACGCGGAATGAGAAACTGTGTGGCGTTAATACTAAATGAGACTGAAAATACAACAAAAGCTAAAACTAATATACATAATGCATAGTCTGTCTTCAGGTCACATGCTCTCGCCGAGAAAGGCTCACTCATTTGTTAGTAATCCTAATCCTGCCAATTCCTTCCTTCTTTTCTTTCCCCACAGTTTCCTTCCACCGTCCCTGCGCTCTTTCTCTCTTCAACCAGCTCTTCCACGCCACACCCTACCCTACCCTTTCCCCTGGTACTTGGGTCTAGGTCGCGCTGCCCTCCCCCCAAGATTCCTTTCTCTCGCCCATGTTGAGAATAACGGGTTAATCTGCCCGTTATTCTCCCTCTTTTTCTTCCTCCCTCCCCCTCATACCTGCCGGATGAAACAATTCACTTAACAGGAAGAAGCGGCCGGCGTGAGCACCCTGTTTGAAATCTGCTTCTTCACATCTGTTCAATCGAGCCTGATTATATTTCTCTTCCCTCGTTATTACAGATCCCTTCCAGCTGGCTAATTATTCAAACGGAGATGCACACATGTACACAAGCAAACAGACAAGTAGAGATAAATAAATACACACATATGATAAAGATCCCCCCTCCCCACCTCTAAAGATGACACGTGGCGGCCGATCAGCGGGACCCGCTCTGCGATTCCACCGTTCATAACATAACACACCTGCCGAACCGGGCCACAGGTGAGGCCACGCCGCGGTCGGATCGTCCAAGGAAACACAACAGCAGCTAAGGACGGCTGGGGGGGGGGGGGGATCACGTATGCCAAGGAAAGGCTGGGACCAAGGAGAGGCGCAGTCGGGGGGAGGGGGGTGGGTAGACATGATGGTAATACGAATGAACTCACGAAAAGAAGAGCAGCAAGTAGAATAATATCAAGGAGAGACAGACGAAATGGTACAAGAAGGCCAACAAGTTATATAAAAAAAGGGAAAGGAAGAGGAAAAAACAAGAAAAAATGATAGTAGGAGAGGAAGAAAACGAAACGAACATGCAGGAAATTACAATAAAGAGAAAAAAAAAATCGGGCAAGGAATAAGAAAGAGGAGGAAGGCAGAGGACATCGATGGAGGATGGGAAGGAGGAACCAACCACCAGAGACACCGCCATGCACTTAAAAACCGCCGCCACCGCCGCCGCAGCCTCCTCCAGGGAAATCCTCCGAAGATTCGCTCCAACCGAGCATTCTCCATTTGTCTCCTCGAACACGCTCGGGACGATGCCAATACAAATGGTAATAATAATAATGATAATGATGGTGATGATGAGGATGAGGATGATATTGATGGTGTTTTTTATTTTATTTATTTCTATTTTTACTCATTCATTTAGTTTTGTTTGTTTGTTTGTGTGTGTGTGCGGAGGGGGGTGCGTGTGTGGGTGGGTGCGTGTGCGTGTAGATATTGATATAGATATATAGATATTATATATCTATATAAGTATGTATCATTGTATGCACGTATGTAAACACAGAGGGAGAGGAAAAGGGAGAGGAGGGAGGGAGGGAGGGAGAGGTAGAGAGAGGGGGAGGGGAGAGGGAGAGAGGGGGGAGGGGGGAGGGGGGAGGGGAGGGAGGGAGGGAGGGAGGGAGGGAGGGAGGGAGAGGAGGGAGGGAGGGAGGGAGGGAGGGAGGGAGAGAGAGAGAGAGAGAGAGAGAGAGAGAGAGAGAGAGAGAGAGACACACACACACACACACACACACACACACACACACACACACACACACACACACACACACACACACACACACACACACACACACTATAACGTTTATTTCTGGAATTCCCACAAACAATAAATCCCAAAAGGAAGAT